TAGGTGTTATGTTTTAGCGTGTCAATCGTATGGACTCTATGAGATTGCCAGAGGAGGAGCTAACCGTAGGTCTGAAATCGTCGCATACATTATCACTCGTGGCCGCCGCACCACAAGAGGAGTTAAACGTAACTCTGAACCCGTCACTTTCACCATGATCAGTCACTGCCATGCTTAACGAGGAGTTAATCATAGCTCCATCACGACCCGCCGTCGTGGCTCCGAGTTTTCGACCGTCCGACTTGGACGCAGTTTTGATAGTCACACCACCAATTCTCCCACGGCCTACCAACTGTTGGAATTAAGGATATTGAGATCGTTGTGAAATCTTAGATGTTATTCTCATGAACAGATTACAAGAGCTAATATACAGTTTTGGAGGAGGTAAACTAGGAGCACGTTTAACAGAAAGCTAAGCACCTCCCATGAGATCAGGAACCATAACCGATAGTGGGAAAGAAAAAATAAATAAATGAAAATAGTCATTTATCTCTAATACGCCCCCGCAAGACGGACGTTGTATCGACAACGCCGATCTTGGACCGAAGAAGTGAGAAGCGAGTAGCCGGAAGTGGTTTGGTGAGGACGTCAGCAAGCTGGTGAGCTGTGGGAATGTAGCGAATTAACAGGCCGCCAGTTTGAACAAGTTGACGAACGAAATGGTAGTCCAATGCCAAATGCTTCATGCGGGAATGAAAGACCGGATTGGCGCAGAAATATGTGGCGCCAAGGTTGTCGGAGTAGAGCGTAGGCGGTGAGCAGAGAGGATGGTGGAGCTCAGTCAACAGGTTGTGGAGCCATTCCAGTTCAACAGAGGCGTGAGCAATGGCCCTGTATTCGGCTTTAGTACTGGAGCGAGCAATGGTGTGTTGCTTTTGGGAGCGCCAGGAGATGAGAGTGTTGTCGAGGTATATGAGATAGGCGGAGGTAGAAGAGCGGTCATCCAAGTTGCCACCCCAGTCAGAATCAGCAAAGGCAGATAGTGTAAGCGGCTGGGGAGAGCGGTGAATGGCAAGGCCATGACTGAGAGTGCCAGCGACATAGCGAAGCAAGCGTTTCAAGCAATGCCAGTGACCGGTGGTGGGAGAGTGCATGAACTGAGAGAGGCGGTTGACAGAGAAGGCAATATCTGGCCGAGTATACACCAAGTATTGCAGGGCACCAATGATTTGGCGGAAGCGGGTAGCATCAGTGGGAGCCGTGCCGTCGTGGAGAGAGAGAGTGGCCGTGGAGGCCATTGGCGTCGTTGTGGGAGAAGCTTCAAGCATATCAAACCGGTGAAGGATGTCTTTCATATATTTATGCTGGGATAAGAGGAAGCCGGTAGCGGTGGGAATTACTTCAATGCCCAGGAAATAAGTGACGTCGCCCAAGGATTTGAGAGAAAACCGCTGGGAGAGGGCCTCACGAAAGGTAGAGAGCAGCGCCTCATTATTCCCTGTAAGCAACAGATCATCCACATAGACCAAGAAATAAAGCAGGACATCGCCCCTTTTGTAAACAAACAACGAGGAGTCAGAAATCGTCTTGGTAAATCCAAACTCGAGGAGGAAATTGCTGAGGGCAGTATACCAGGCCCGAGGAGCCTGGCGAAGACCATAGATCGCGCGTTTGAGGCGGCAAACATGATGAGGACGCGTCGGATCTACGAAGCCGGGCGGTTGGACCATATAGACTTCATCCTGCAAGGGGCCCTGAAGAAAGGCATTGTTGACATCAAAGTGTGCAATAGACCAATTGTGAGATAATGCCAGAGTAAAAACCGTGCAAACAGTGACCGGTTTGACCACCGGGCTGAAGGTATCGCCGAAGTCAACACCGGGTCGTTGGTGGAAACCCTTAGCAACCAATCGGGTTTTGAATCGAGCAATGGCCCCGGTCGGCTCACGTTTCACCCGGAATACCCAACGATTGCCAAGGACGTTGTAGTGTGGAAGTCGCGGAACAAGATCCCATGTGTCGTTGGCATGGAGAGCCTGATTTTCGGCGGAGAGGGCATCGGACCATTCAGGATAGAGTAATGCCTCGTGGACAGAAGCAGGCTCCAACGGTGGTAACGAGGTAGCAGAAGGTGGGCCGGCAGCTGTGTAGAAAAGCCTCTTGGGCTTAAAAATCCCATGCTGGGCTCTGGTGGTCATGTTGTGCACACGGGCTGGAGGAGGCGGCTGAACAGGCTGATGAGGAGGCCCAATTGGAGGAGTAGTGGCTGCCGAGACGGGCCCAGCGGGCGGGGGTGTGGCAGGGGCCGAGGCAGGCCCAGTGTCCGAGGAGGGCCCAGAGGTTGTTGTGGAAGAATCCGCTGCAGGAGACACATCTGCTGAGGGGGAGGTGGGCCCATTTGATGGCGGGCTGGGCGGTGATGATGTGGGCCGAGCGGCTGGTAGAGCTGTAATGGGAGGGGTGGAATCATATACCCAAGCCGCAGGAGAGGGAATGGAGGGAGAAGTATTAGACAAGTATCCTGGAAAAACATCCTCCACAAATTGCACATGACGAGAGTGAAAAATACGATTAGTGAGTGGATCGAGACAGCGGTAGGCACTTTTTTGGGGACAATAGCCAATGAACAGACATGAACGAGATCGGGGGGCAATTTTGGTGGCGGCATAAGGACGAAGCCAAGGATAACATAAACACCCAAAAATCCGCAGTTTGTGATAGTTAGGTGTTTGATTAAAAAGAAGAGTATATGGAATTTGACCACGAAGGGCCGAGGAAGGCATACGATTGATTAGATAAATGGCAGTGGAAAAAGCGAAGGACCAAAAAATGGAAGGAAGACGAGCATGATGTAGAAGAGTGATACCGGTTTCGACAAGATGACGGTGTTTGCGTTCGGCAAGCCCGTTATGCTCCGGGGTATGAGGAGGTGTGAGAAGATGGCTAATCCCAAGAGTGGTAAGGGTGGGGCAAAGTTTGATGAACTCACCACCACCATCTGTGTAAAGGCGACGAATGGTAGTGGAGAAATAGTTTTCAACCATAGTACGAAAATCAAGAAAGACCTGAAGAACGTCAGATTTACGACGAAGAGGGTAATACCATGTATAACGAGTGAAATGATCAACAATAATCAAATAATATTGAAAACCATCAAGCGAAGTAACAGGAGCAGGACCCCACACATCAGTATATAAAAGATCAAATGGTCGAGTACTGGAAAGAGATGAAACACCAAAAGGTAGTTTATGAGATTTATTAGAAAGACAGGCATCACAATGACTATGAGCAGAGGCCGCAGACACAGGGAGTGAATAGGAACGAAGTAGGCTACGAAGAGAACTATCAGACGGGTGACCAAGCCGGGAATGCCAGGAATTTGTGGAAGTACGAGTGGAAACGAGGGCCAAGCGAACTGGAGCGGATTTCGTAGGCAGCTCATACACATCACCCTTGTTTTCCCCTCTCAACATTTGCGCCCCCGTGCGAAGATCCTTCACAACAAAATGTGTGGCAAAAAATTCCACGGACACTGGGTTAGTACGACATAATTGAGCCACAGAAATGAGATGCTTTTTAATGGCAGGAACATGTAAAACATCATTTAACGAAAGAGATTGGGCGCCAGTAGAAAGATTAGAAGAGCCAATGTGGCTAATCCGCAAACCTGAGCCATTTCCAACGATCAGTTCATCAGGCCCTGTATAATCGGAGTAGAGGGATAAGTTCCCTAAATCAGCTGTCACGTGGTGAGATGCCGCTGAGTCCATCAGCCAGGAATTGGATGCAGACATTGGCCTGGCGGAAGACTGCTGTGATGGAAAGGCTGCATTTGTATAGTGGGCTTGAGCCTGCCTGTTTTAAAGGTGGGCCTGGCGGGCCTGAGGGAACAACTGAAAACACTGGCGCACTGTATGCCCAGGTTTCTCACAAAATTGACATATGACACGGGCCCGCCGGCCTGTTGGACTTGAGTCACCTGATGATGCTGGGCCGGAGAGGAAGTGCTGCGCTGGGCCTTGCATACGCTGCTGCTGCTGGCCCGGAGACCCACGAGGGGCAGGAATCGGGAGATAAGGCGGCATCGCCCCTCTGGGAGAACGAGACCTAATCGGCGGCAACCTATTCTGCGGCGAACCACCGTGGCGTTGCCCCTGGGTATAGAACGCCGTTGGAACTGTCGATTGTGGGCGAGCCCGGAGATCCGCTTCATACTCCACCAGCGAATCAACCAGATCTTCGAGGGTGAGACCTGGGCCACGGGCGCGAACGGCAGCTGAGAAGGATTGATAATCGTCGCCGAGCCCACGGAGACAGTGAACGATCAAATCGATGTCCTTCACTGGTTCGCCAATAAGAGCTAGCTCGGTTGCTGTAGTCTTCAAATCGTTGACAAAAGAGAGGATATCTCATTCTCCTTTGGCCGCTTTAGCAAGCTTCCCTTTCAGATAAATAATACGCGACTGAGCGTTACTCGCGTAGATTTTTTCCAGAGTCAACCAGGCTTCACGGGCTGTTGACGCAGCAGAGACAAAAGAATAGATTGATTCATCAATTGAGCATCTCATGGCATGGAGAATAAGTTTATCTTGCCTGAACCAATTGCGATAAATCGGATTTGCAGCAGGGGAAGAGTCCGTCAAGATTGATTCAGGTGGAGCTACTGTTGAGCCGTCGATGTAGCCGATCAGATCGAGTCCCATGAGGAGGGTTTCCAGCTGAGAACGCCAGGAGGCGAAATTGATTGAGGTCAGCTTGAGAGGAAGCTGCGCTGCCGGATTGAAAGTGATGATCTGGGTTTCTGTATTTTTTGAATCCGAAGCAGATCCGTCGCCTGTCATGGTGATGATGCAGGGGAGAAAGGTTTGAAGTGAAAGAATGACAAAGAGAGAACAGAGAAGAGGTAAGAGGAGATAAAATCGGATCTAGCTGATCGTTGCTAGCTCTGATACCATGTTGGAATTAAGGATATTGAGATCGTTGTGAAATCTTAGATGTTATTCTCATGAACAGATTACAAGAGCTAATATACAGTTTTGGAGGAGGTAAACTAGGAGCACGTTTAACAGAAAGCTAAGCACCTCCCATGAGATCAGGAACCATAACCGATAGTGGGAAAGAAAAAATAAATAAATGAAAATAGTCATTTATCTCTAATACCAACGAGAAGGTTGCTGCCAGCGAGTCGTTTCCGTTTGTTGAGAGCTCCGTGACCCAACGATCATCACCAACGGATCTGTCCATAAAGCTAAACGCCAAACAACTTGGGGTTTGGGATCGAGGGTTAAACGAGGTCACTGTTGCTTCCGATTTTGGTCTAAAGCCTAGTGAGCAGCTATAACGAAGTAAGATGAGGAGATGCCGCATTATGAACTGGAGGTATCGGAAGAAGCAACTGAAAGTGGCGTCCGAGTTAACAAGCTGCAACCGTGGCGACAATCATTGGGTACCCTTGAGCACAGAGTCAAGCAAGTCGCAGCGGACAAGGAACCCACGGGGAACAACCAAGACTCGAACATCGTACACGGGTTGCCTAGGGCACAACCATTCCCACCGCTCGTCCTTGGCATCATCACCGTTGTAGCCGGGGATACAGCCACGTTCGTCGATGCACACCCATCAACAGGAGAGCTAGCCCTAGCCCTAGCTCCAACGACCACGATCGTTCCTCGAGCTGCCTCACCAACAACAACGATCACCCCTAACGTCGATGAGCTAGCTTCCTTTGATCCTGCCGCTGATTTGGATTCTACCAAGTTGGAGACAACCGACATTCATTCAAGAATCACATCGCCATCATCGTACGAGTTTGCGCTGTAGCGACTAAGTTGCCTGGATGTCGGAATGCTATAGAGGATGTCTGGAGCCTCGACACTATCGCTCCACAGCAGAAATCGGGGTTCGATCCAGGGGCGGAGCTACACAGGGCCTAAGGGGGGCCCCGGCACCCCCGAGAATTTCAAAAATCACGAAAGAATGTACGAGTATTCTGAAAATTACGAAGTAAATACAGGTTTATGATAATGGTCGCGGGTTAAAAGGTATCTAAAGTAGCCGATTACCCTAGTGGAGTTTTTAGTGGTTTTGTATCAAACAGGTCAAGGGTTCAATCCTCACCTATGTTAGTTTTTCGGTTGGAGTTTTTTACAATTTTATAGCTTTAATGGAAAAAATTTCCCCGATAAGTTTAACAAGAATGTCAATCTAATTATTTGACAAAACATCTCGTACATTTTGATAATTTACACAATTAATTTATTTATATAGTTATATAATTATTTTGATTTTTTTCTTATTACGATAATATACGAAACATTTCCGGCCCCCCCAAACCCAAAATCCTAGCTCCGCCCCTGGTTCGATCGCCTAAAGTATGGTGTAAAGATGAAGTCGGCTCTCGTGGGAAAGGACAAGGTGGGCGATGAGCCCAAGCGCTTTTCGCTTGATCCTCGACGTTATTTGATGTGAGGCTCTGAGCAAAACGAAAGGGGCCAGGGTAATGATACGGGATGTGATCATAATAACAAGGCAGTGGAGTTGAGTTTGGGAGGTCCAAGTTCGGAACAAGGTACCACAAGAAGCCCATGTTCGATTCACGGTTGTATCGGGTCGAGTATGAGAATTGAGAGGATTAATGAGCATGTTATTGTACAGAGTGGGCTCGATGATTGCTACGAAAGATAGTGTCATGGGACTTGCGGGTAAAATCGTGGAGGCCAACTCAAATTCTTATGGAAGTACATGGACGTCTGATGCCCCTAAGGAAGTGATAGAGATGAGCGAACCCTTTGGTCTTAACGAGGTCAATGATGGAACTCCTATCCTTGGAGTTGAAGGTGATTTGACTTCAAGTTTCAAACCGAGATATGAAGTTAACGCGGAGGTACAGGCTGAGGAGTGGAGGTTTGGTTTTGCTGAAGGGTTACGAGGATTGCATGAAGACAAGATTTGTATACAAAGAGCCTATCCTTATTCTTCTATACGTGACTTGCATGGAATTTGTTGTTTTTGCATGAGGGTTGGCTTGGACATTGACGTGGAGAGTGATAATTTAGCTTATAAGCTTGATCCCTTGAAGCATGCGTGGCATATTATTCGGCGACATGAGCTGAAGGTACCTCGGAGTGCAAGCAGTAGGCATGGAGAGTTGAATGGCGAAGGAGAGAAGTGGGCGAATGATGAATGGAGGCTGATCACTCCTAATTCCTTGTTGATTTTAATAGGCTCACATACTTGGCAGATTCTAGAAAGGCAAGTTCAGGGGGTACGTTGCATCGAGGAGTTAAGTGGTGTTAATGATATAGTGAAGGACGTACGTGTGAAGGAACTGTCTTGGGAATTTCAAGTAGGTTCAGAAGAAGAACAAATATTTTGCTTTGATCCAGGTGGGAAGGATTCCGTGCTGATGGAAGAATATGTCCAGGTTAGAGGGTTTGATTGGTTGTTAAGGCTCAACTGGAAATATCGCAAGCGGAAGCTAAGTCATCAAGCAATCATCATCGTCTACTACAAATTGCGAGGAAGGTTCTTCTACATCGATCAAGATTGAAGCAAGTATGATAATTCTACCAACCTTGAGGGCAAGGTCGTGTTTAAGGGGGTAGTGATGTTACGAGATCGAGCCATCGTGACATTTCATTATTACTGGACTTGCGTATCTTTTCTTATTAGTCGTATTAAGTCATTATTTGGGAATATTAGTATTAATTATTATTAGTAGATGTTCTAGTTGGATTAGGATATGCAATAGTTCTTGTTTAGTATTTGATTAATGTTTCTTGTAAGGGAAGAAAAGGAATTCTAGTAGGAAAAGGATAAGGAGAGAGACTAAAGTCTTGGGTGAGAAGGAAAGGGATTTGGTTGTGTAACTCTATAAATAATCTATAAATAGAGACATTGTCTATGAATAATGGTATGAGAAGATTGGAACCCAATTTATGTTTGTTTGCTTTGATTATTTCTTTCGTTCAGTATTAGTAGTTTCGTAGTTATTTTGGGGTTATTCTCGCCATTAAGAAGATCCTCTACTCGAGAGCGTTGAGCAATGTATCCAAAAGTCCGGAGAAGCAAAGATCCAGTACGTAGAATTCCGCCCTTGCGGTGCATCTACGTAATAGTACCCGAGTGGTAGTTCTGATGTGGCCCAGTGTTGTGTAAAGCTGAACATTGTGGGAGCAAGTCCGAACCAGTTGGTCCACCTAAGATTGGGACCACGAAAATTCAAACCAAGATACCCTTCGTATGAATGCAGTGTTGAATGAGTACGAGCTCCGGCTTGGGGACGTGGACAGCCGCGACAGTGGGTGGCTCATGGAATTCCACGAGGTGGGAGAACATTCATGATGCCAAACGTGCCACGGGGTAGTTAGCACACGTACGATGTCCGTCGTCAGCAGCCCATCACGGTTGATGGGATGACAAGGACGCATTATAGAAGGTACCTTCGCAAGAATGCTCAAGGAAGGAGGATTGCAAACTTGCAAGCAAATGTAAACGAGGACAACTCTGCCACGGGTATGTGAGTGACCGTGGCCGGTGCTGAAAAAGTTGTCGAGAACAAGCTAGACGGGAACAACCAGGGAGTCTCGGGCAAGGCTGAGTGTTGAGTTGGATGACTCCTTCATCGAAGAGGAGATGCTGGAATTGGATGATCCAAAGTCGAAGTTACATTGTTACAATTCATGGACCAGAATGAAGGGGAATTGGGCTTCAAGAGCGAAAAGGATTCGGCTAAGGAAGAGAAGGGAAGTCTCAAGTGTGAAAGGGATCAAAGTGGGAAAGGAATCAAAGATGGGAACACAAGGGAAGGGCTAATGGATTGCAAGGCTAGAATCTAGGGAGTTGTGGACCGGTCTTTTCCTTGTCTTTTAAGGATTGTGTTTACTTTTCCTTGAAGGTTTTGTTTTCCTTTTATATGTAGGATTTGGTCATTTGTTTGCTTTCTTTCTTAGTTTAGGATTGAATTTTCGTTGCCTATATAAGGAGGATGAGTCCCTCATTGTAATTCATTCTATTATCAATCAACTTTCAAGTTTCAAGTTCAAAGGAACTGGTTCTTTGTGCAAGCTTCTGTCGAGAGTGCTCCAGAGGTTTCACGTGTCTCTTATCAACTAGAGAGCGCGTCTAGTTGTGGCGAGCTTCTACCCTATATCAATTTCCCCTTTTCCACGAGTTGGTGTTGTCCGATTGGGTTAATATACCAATTGTTCTTCATCACGAGTTAGGAATTGTCCGATTGATTCTATCCTATCTTTTTTATTCTATCCTATCTTTTTATTTTCGAGTTCAAGAAAGGCTACACCAGAAAACCATAAAAAGGCATTGAGGTTGCGTACTTTGGTCACATCACCTAATTTGGCCACCAATACTGTTTGCACTTACAACAACGTTGCTATGCTTTTTTGTTTAACCTGGTCCAAGAGGCCAACCTGAATCTCAAAACATTGTTGTTGCCGCTCCAACAGCTCTACATGACTAACTATATCCATATTTTTTACTAACAACATTGGCCTTGACCATATTATGATGCGCAGCAACTTGAACTCAAGATTAATGCGGCTCGGGAAGGAGAAACGAACGTCCAGTTGACGTGAAAGCAAGCATGTTGCTGTGTTGTTTTCTTTGTTTTATTGCATAATTAATTTTATGTTCTTTTCATTTCCTAAACACTTTCGGATAGTGCAAATTTAGGCTATAAGTATTTAAGGACGTTGTTATGGATTGTGACGTACTTTGAGAAAATAAAAGAATAATAGGGGTTTGCTTAATCTGGAGGATTCAAGAGTGTTCATCGAGCTTGCAGCTGGCAAGCATATCTTAGAGAGAGTTCATAGTTGGTGAACTATTCTTTGGGTTTTCTGATTGCGTCAAGTGGAGAGCAGCAGGCTTTCTCTTGTCTATTTTTTAAGCTTGCACGACCATGGGAGATCGTCCGGTCACACGTAAAGATATCGAGGCTATCACCGCGGATTTCACAACGGCGATCACAACCTTGACAATTCAAGTGACGAATCTGGCGGCACGGGTAAGAAACAATCAAAACAGGAGGGATAGAGGCAGAAGAGTCGAGCGAGAGGTCCAAGACGGGGACCAAGAGCATGATGATCGTGCAAATCGTAACGATTATCGGGTCAAGGTTGACATCCCTTTGTTCTATGGGACTATGGAGTCAAGGATTTCTTGGATTGGTAGATTGATAGGGATAGGTTCTTCGATGTAATGCAGGTACCTGTTACGAGATCGAGCGATCGTGACATTTCATTATTACTGGGCTTGCGTATCTTTTCTTATTAGTCGTATTAAGTCATTATTTGGGAATATTAGTATTAATTATTATTAGTAGCTGTTCTAGTTGGATTAGGAGATGCAATAGTTCTTGTTTAGTATTTGATTAATGTTTCTTGTAAGGGAAGAAAAGGAATTCTAGTAGGAAAAGGATAAGGAGAGAGACTAAAGTCTTGGGTGAGAAGGAAAGGGATTTGGTTGTGTAACCCTATAAATAAAGACATTGTCTATGAATAATGGTTTGAGAAGATTGGAACCCAATTTATGTTTGTTTACTTTGATTATTTCTTTCGTTCAGTATTAGTAGTTTCGTAGTTATTTTGGGGTTGTTCTCGCCACTAAGGAGATCCTCTACTCGAGAGCGTCGAGCAACGTATCCAAAAGTCTGGAGAAGCAAAGATCCAGTACATAGAATTCCACCCCTACGGCGCATCTACGTAACAGTTGGTATCAGAGCCCGGTTCTCCGGCACCACAAAACCATGACGATTGAAGGTATTCGAGCAAGAGAATTGGTCGCTAATTGGAATCGAGTTTTTTTGGCTTGAGTTTTTTAATTCTTGGACTATTTTAGGCTAGGTTGTGTTCCTTTGTCATATTTCAGGTCCTAGCATGTGAAGTGAAGCCTAGGCGCAAGTTTCAACTCAATAAGAGATTAATTGGCGACTCGAGGTGAGAAACTCAATGACTTGAGGAAGAATGGATTTATACCTCATTTTATTGACAAAGAATCATGAAATCTTGTCATTAAAAGAAAGAGGACAAGACTCCGAGCATCTGGGATCAAACGGCACCTGAATCGGATGTCAAACAATCCCAAACGAGATCAACAAAGCTTAGGAGTGCATGCTGGAAATTGTGCACGGCCGTGTGAAATTCTGCACGGCCGTGTCGGTTTCCCAGGGGGTTTGCACGGCCAAAACCTCAATTTGCATGGCCAAACACCCAAGGGACGAAACCTAGAGAGTGAGAGAGCTACTTGGGAACATTCTTGGAGCTATTTTGGAGGATTTGTTCGTCGTTGGAGCTCGGGAATCAAGCTCGGAGATGGAGATTGAAGATCTAGATCAGATTTCTGCAGTCTCTCTCTTCTTTATGGAGTAACTTCCCTTCACTTAGGTTTCGAGGAATCCTAGTTCCATGTGTTAGGATCTTTCTTGTATGAAGTTTTGGATGCTATATTGTTTGATTATAATCGATCGAGGCATGATTTATTGAGTCAATTGAATCTTGATCAAATTCTCTTGATTTCTGTTTTAACCTATGATAGATAGAATCTGATTAGGTTAAGAGAGCTTCCTTGATTGATAGTGGTGAATTGGTTGTGCGAGAGTCAATCAATTCACTACTTTGTACTGGAATTCATTCCAGTAGTGGTGATCTGTGTGAATCGCCTTAGAAGTCTATCCCGGTGAAGGCTAGTCGCCTGCCGGGTATTCTGTCTAAGAAGGCTTGGTCAGCTTAAGAGATTCCAAGCTAATTTAGGATCTTCCGCAGTTTAATCAACAGTAGATCAACCAAAGGTAATTGCAACTTTGATGTAGATCCACGTCCATGTGAGAATAATGACAATCCAAATAAGCAGCAAACAACTCTCTTAACCTCTTGGCTTGTAAACGAGTAATTGGACCTTCATGTGATGAAATGGACTTGGATTTGATGACCTCATCTGTCCCTGTCTCTTGAAAAGGATTTGACCTCAAATCCGAATTGTCCTCCAAATATGGCGCAAGGTCAGAAACGTTGAAGGTTGCATTTATCCCATACTCTCCCGGCAAATCAATATTGTAAGCATTGTTTCCAACCTTCGAAATCACTTGGAAGGGACCTTCACTTCGAGGTAACAGCTTGGATCTCCTTTGATAGGGAAACCTTTCCTTTCTCATGTGCACCCATACTCAATCTCCAGCTTCAAACGATCGAGGCTTCCTATTGCGATTGACGTTCTTCGTGATTTGCTTCGTCCTTCTCTCGATGTTCAATCTTTGTCTTCTCGTGGAGATTTTTCACAAATTCAGCCTTCTTTACTCCATCCATGTTGACTTGTTCCTTTAATGGCAGAGGTGTCAAATCCAATGGTGTAAGTTGATTGAACCCATACACGAGCTTGAAAGGCGAATGCTTTGTTGTTGAATTCACAGCTCGATTGTAGGCAAATTCGACATGTGGTAGACAATCTTACCAAGTTTTGATGTTGCTCTTGATCACAACTCGTAGCATTTGGGATAGAGTATGATTGACCACTTCAGTTTGTCCATCCGTTTGAGGATGAAAAGTTGTTAAAAACAGGAGCTTTGTGCCGAGTTTACTCCACAGCGTTTTCCAGAAATAGCTCAGAAACTTGGCATCTCGATCAGACACAATTGTACGTGGCATTCCATGTAGTCTCACGATCTCCTTAAAGAACAAATCTGCCACGTTGTTTGCATCATCAGTTTTATGGCATGGAATGAAGTGCGCCATCTTCGAGAAATGATCCACCACCACAAAAATTGAATCTCTGCCTCTTCTTGTCCTCGGCAACCCTAGCACAAAATCCATTGAAATGTCGACCCATGTTGCATAAGGAATAGGTAGTGGCGTGTACAACCCAGATTGTTGTACTTTTGACTTAGCATGTAGGCACTCCACACATCGTGCACATAATTTCTCCACATCTCCTTTCATGTGAGGCCAATAGAAGTGCTCTTGCAAACAGCTTAGTGTCTTGGCTACACCAAAGTGAGCCATTAATCCTCCTCCATGCTCTTCCCTCAACAATAGCTCTCGAAGTGATGTTCTAGGTATGCACAATTGATTACCACGAAAGAAATAACCATCAGTTCTATAGAACTTCCCTTCTCCATGCTTCTCAAAAGCCTTTTAAATTTTTCCAAAGTCGAAATCCCCTTCATAAGCAGCCTTGATTTGCTAGAATCCAAGGTACTTAGCATCCATAGTAGTGATCAACGTGTATCTCCTTGATAAAGCATCAACAACCACGTTCTCCTTGCCTTGTTTATACTTGATCACGTAGGGGAATGACTCAATAAACTCCACCCAACGAGCATGCCTCTTGTTTAACTTGTGTTGGGACTTCAAATACTGGAGAGACTCATGGTCAGTATGGATCACGAACTCTTTGGGCCACAAATAGTGCTGCCATGTCTCTAGGGCTCGAACCAAAGCATAGAGCTCCTTATCATAGGTAGGATAGTTAAGCGTAGCTGCACTCAATTTCTTGCTAAAGTAAGCGATGGGCTTCTTCTGTTGCATCAATACAGCTCCGATTCCCAATCCAGATGCGTCACACTCCACTCCAAAAGTCTTGGTGAAATCGGGTAACATTAACATAGGAGCATGAGTGAGCTTTTACTTGAGTTTTTCGAATGCCTTCTCTTGTTCCTCTCCCCAATAAGAAGTCACATTCTTCTTGATAATTGATGTCAATGGGGCGGCAATAGGGCCGAAATTTGGGACGAATCGACCATAAAACCCAGCCAGCCCATGAAAACTCCTTACTTCATTCACGTTGGTAGGGGTTGGCCATGCTTGAATCGCCTTCACCTTCTCTTTATCGACCTCAACACCATTCATACTTACTACGAACCCCAGAAATACCACATTTGAAGTACAAAACGAGCACTTTTTAGGGTGTATATGGTTAGGGTATAAGATATTGATGGTTTTGACGGTTCTAAGTTTTTTATTAACATATGTTCACTTGAAGTCATTTGAAGTCTTTAACGGCAGGAGGTCCCTTTTTAATTTATTTTTATGGTACGTGGTTAGAGTACAAGGTATGTGGTGTAAAGTATAGGATATATGGTTAGGGTATAACAATTAGCAAATATCACTTTTTATCTATGTTTTGAAAATCAAAGTATGAATTTCACTTTTAAATTAACTATACTAGAAAAATCACAACTCAAGGACATATGGTTAGGGTATAGGTTATGTGGTTAGTGTATAATGTATTGGTGGTTTAGGGTATACAATCTACAACATATACTAACTTAATATTGTTGATTGAGGGTAAAGCTAAGTGTATAGGATATATGCTATTGAGTAAGTTATGGTTGAAGTCACAATAATTTTACTAAATATGATAGCTAATCTTTAATGGTTCAATTTTTAGGATAATTCGAACAATTTTACAAATAACTCGTTTGGCAACAGTTTACTAAAGTTATTTGGGCAATGAGTTATTTTGAAATAACTCCTTTTATCACTATGTTTTTGCCAAATACCACACGCCAAATACCAGATTTGCATGGTTATACTAAACGAGATACTTTAATCTAATTACTACTAAATTAATACTAAAATATCAAATAAACAATTAACGGTGTCTTTTGGTTGCAAATATTGATATCACCTTTACTATTAGCTATAATACTTCACCAATTATGATTAATTACATAACAAGTTTGCAAGTCATACAAATTGATTTCACATTTTGACTAGTTTTTTTCAAAAAAATAAAGTATATATATACGAGGTAGAAATAAATTGGTTAAAAAGTTGAGAAAATATTTTAAATTAGTGTAATAAAATGTGTAAGTTGGTAATGAGTAATGAGTTAAGTTACTTGATGCGCTGGCCCGAACAACCCGAAACCCGACCCGCCCGCAACCCGCCCGACCCAAAACCCGAAGAACCCGCAACCCGATTGAATCCGAACCCGATGAACCCGCAACCCGACTAACCCGCAACCCGACTAACCCGCAACCCATTTGAACCCGAACCCGATGAACCCGAACCCGATGAACCCGCAAGCCGACTAACCCGCAACCCGTTTGAACCCGAACCCGATTGAACCCAGCCCGAACCCGCCCGATCCCGCCCGATTGACACCTATACTCTAAACCCTCTAATGCATATCACAAACACAATAAAGCAAACAAAAAAAAACATACTAGAAAGCTCTCAATGCATACCGCAAATAGCCTAAAATAGACCGGAAACTCCAGAAAGTAAACCAAAATTATTTCATAGGCACACCAGAAATCTCATAATGCATACCACAAATACGATAAAACAAATCACAAAAAACATACTAGAAACCTCCCAATGCATACCACAAATCCGTAAAACAAACGAGAAACCCCACAAAGCAAACAACAAATATTTCAAAAAACACACTAGAAACCCCCTATTGCAAACTACAAACACGACAAAGCAAACCACAAAAAATAAATCAGAAAACTTCTAACGCAAACCACAAATCTAATAAAACAAATCAGCAACCCCGCAAAGCAAACGACAAGTTTTTTGAAAGCACAGCAGAAACTTCTTAATGCAAACCAGAAACACAATATAGTAAACCACAAAAGGCATACCAAAAACATGAGAAAAAAACCATAAATCTCAAAATGCAGACCACAATATCCGGTGATTGTTGACTATTGACCAGTCAACGAAGACCATTGACCAAACTGCGATGACAGTCGGTGACCGGATTCCGATGTCGATAAGCATATTCCGGTCCCGATGACTAGATTTCGACGCCAATAAGCATATTCCGATCAAGGTGATCGGAATAATATTTATTATCCTTAAAGGAAGAAAAAATGAATAAAATCCAATTTTTTACTAATAGGTCCATTACGACGGTGGGCATATTCCGGCGCTGGTGACTGGTGAGCTTATTCCGAAAACTGTGAGAGGATTTCGACGACAAATAGTATATTCCAGTGATAGGCGACCAAAATTTTAAGCAGAAAATAAAAAAAATATTTTATAATTATATATATTTTATTAATAATTTCATATTTATTATTATTTAAACATAATATTCATAATGACAATTATACCCTTTCTTTGATTTTACACTAGGTCAATATATTAACTAATAAAAACTCATCACAATCCTAGCTTCCTATTGGTTGGAGACTAGTGTTGTCACCCTAATAACAAAAAGAGTGTTATCATATTGGTTTTTGAAGTCAGATGTGCATCGATCAAAGCAACACCGCACGAAACAATTTGGCACGCCCGGCGATGGATATTTGACGGTCGTTTTGATTTAGTAGTCACTGGTGCATTCGATCAAATGACCCCGCAATAGTTTCCACCGGGAAAGAATAAAATCAACATCGCCTGAAAACAATTTGGCGTCGGCGGTGGATATTTATTTGTGCGTGAAACAGACTCATATCTCTCTAGTTGTCCATGTCCTGCAACTACGCCGCTCTTCCCCTCCTAGTGATTCGCTACCATGGTGGCACCGTTTGTCGACGAGTTCAACAAGGGGAAATTCATTCCGAAGGCTTCCAAGAAGTACTTCTTCCAGTTAAATTGTTGTTTCTAATTACGAATTGAGTGGGCAGTGGATAGATTAATTGATCCAGTATGATTTCAAAAGCTTTCTTAGGTCGAGTTGTAATTGTGCAACTCCTTCGAATAGCTATTTGTCAAGTTTGTTCCAATTTGTTGTTTTTCATTACGAATTGAGTGGGCACTAGTTTTTTTTTTTTTTTTTTTTGTCAAGTTTGAAGATGTGATCTTAATTTGTCGGACATTGGCACATTGCATTCAAATTTCTTTCTAATCTCAAAAGATTCTTAATCCATATCAAAAAATTCTTCAATTGCGAGAAACTCCACAAAACATACTCTAAACTCTGTAATGCATATCACAAACACAATAAAGCAAACAAAAAAAGCATACTAGAAAGTTCTCAATGCATACCACAAATAGCCTAAAATAGACCGGAAACCCCACAAAGTAAACCACAATTATTTCATAAGTACACCAAAAATCTCATAATGCATACCACAAATACGATAAAACAAATCACAAAAATCATACTAGAAACCTCCCAATGCATACCACAAATACGATAAAACAAATCACAAAAATCATACCAGAAACCTCCCAATGCATACCACAAATCCGTAAAACAAACGAGAAAACTCACAAAGCAAACAACAAATATTTCAAAAAACACACTAGAAACCCACTATTGCAAACTACAAACACGACAAAGCAAACCACAAAAAATAAATCAGAAAACTTCTAATGCAAACCACAAATCTAATAAAGCAAATCAGCAACCCCGCAAAGCAAACGACAAATTTTTTGAAAGCACAGCAGAAACTTCTTAATGCAAACCAGAAACACAATAAAGCAAACCACAAAAGGCATACAAAAAACATGAGAAAACAAACCATAAATCTCAAAATGCATACCACAATATCCGGTGATTGTTGACTATTGACCAGTCAACGAAGACCGTTGACCACAACGTTGGGCATATTCTGGCGGGTGGTGAGCTTATTCCGAAAACTGTGAGAGGATTTCGACGACAAATAGTATATTCTGGTGATCGGCGACCGAAATTTTAGGCAGAAAATAAAAAATTATTTTATAATTATTTATATTTTATTTTTAATTTCTTATTTATTATTATTTAAACATAATATTCATAATGACAATTATAACCTTTCTTTGATTTTACACTAGGTCAATATAACTAATAAAAACTCATTAAAATCCTAACTTCCTATTGTTTGGAGACTAGTGTTGTCACCCTAACAACAAAATGAGTGTTATCATACTAACTTGTCCCCTCTCCTACTTTCCCTTCTTACCTCTTGCAAAGATGATCATTGACACTCTTCCCTTTCAATCTCAAACATTCATTATGATTTTGTAAGACTACAAAATTAGCATTGGTATTTCGGTCCAACAGCAGTGGTCGGGTCCACTGAGTTGGTTTTTTTCTTTTTTTTTCTTTTTTTTCTTGCTTTCGGGGGATTTGTTCTCGTTTCCCCTGTTGTTTTCTCCTTTTGTTGTTTGGGCATTGGGTTCAGCGCTTGTGAACCAGGACCTCTTATGTTTCAGTTTCCTTTTTCCTTTCAATATATTTTCACCATTATCAAAAAGAATACTAGAAAATCATATCCACTCTACGCTGCTGCGGATGGTGAGAGACGTAGTGGAATTTGCATTACATGTTTAATTTTGTATTTACATTATCAATATTGAATTTTCTCTTGCCATCAATCATTATTTATAATTAGACAAAAAGGTAAAAATGATAATTAGACTATATAAAAGATGGAAGTAGTGGACTCCCATACACACATACTATTTTGGTTTACTTAATTAATTAACCCAACCTTAATAAGTAGGAGTGACAACGGGTTGGTCCCTAACGGACCGCACGAGACCAAACCAATTCTTATATCAGATCACACCGAATCGAATATAATGTGATTCGATGCTTTGTCCTATGAATTTAATTAATACTGGGGAAAAAGAACTAAATTGAATTTTGAATCGGACCAAACCATACCAAATAAGATGGAATGCACTGTTGATTCGTTCCTTGACCCTAAGATATATTTCACTATTGAACCGCAGTTATCATTAGTTTAGTCCGGTCCGGTCCGGATTGGACCACTACACACCCCTACAAAATTAGCAAGTTCATATCCAAAAATTTAACGCAATTTACTAACATAATTGAGTGTTGGTTGGAGTGGTGAGTACGGAGTGTCTTGCATGTTGCCATACACCTAGAAGTGGCATATATATTGTATCCATATATAGATTGGTGGATTGGATTAGTAGATTCATGGATGAAATGGATCGGTGGATTCATGGATTGGATCATATGGATTGGTGAATTAATCCACGAATCCAAATGACATCCACGCACTGGACCAATATGTAAATTTTGAAAATTTTAGGTACTAAAATGGCATAATAAAAAATTTTAGGTACAAAAACATAATTTTCCAATGTTATTTTTTGTAAAAAAACAAATTTTCGATACCAAATTGTAAAATATATAAAAATACAGGTACTTAACTGTGACGTGTCAACGATCCATGAATTCATCAATTCAATTGCTTGTAATCAAATAGATTGAATTAATTAAATATTTAAGTGGATGAATTAAATTGAATTTATAGATTGCATTATAAAT